GAGAAGCAACAAAAAAAACAACCAACTAGGTTGGTACAAATGCTAAGCAGCTAGAACAATAGCTTACGTCAGAAGAGAAACATGGAGCACCTTCTGCTATACAGACAAGACGAACTGGCACTGACCAAGGAAACAGCACAGACTAAATACACAGGTGAGGAGTGATCATTAGGGACAGCTGAGGCTCATTGAGACCAGGCAGGTGATTAACAGGGAGCGAAAATACACAGGTGAGGGAGTGAGGCGATCAGCCAGGGCCAGGATGTGACAGTACCCCCCCCCCTCAACGACCGGCACTGGACGGTCCAGGCTCGTTTGGATGATGCCTGTGGAAATCCCGGATGAGGTCTGGGTCGACAATGTTCTTTGAAGATACCCATTCCCTCTCCTCAAGACCATAGCCCTCCCAATCCACCAGATACTGGCGTCCACGACCCCGCCGGCGAGTCGCCAAGAGCCGCTTGACAGAATGAACTGGCCCTCCATCAATGAACCGGGGGGGCGGTGGGCGTCTGGAGGCAGGAACCAGAGGGCTCTCTTTGACCGGCTTGATCCGAGCCACATGGAACGTTGGGTGTGACCTCATGGACCTGGGAAGCTTGAGTCTCACAGCAACAGGATTAATAATCTTTGAGACAGGGAAGGGACCAACAAAGCGAGGCGCCAACTTACGGGACTCGACTCGAAGAGGAAGATCCTGAGTGGAGAGCCATACTCTCTGGCCGACACGATAGGTGGGAGCAGGGATCCGTCGGCGGTCTGCTGCCCTCTTGTACCGAGCAGACGTCCTAAGCAGCACTTGTCTAGCCCCAGTCCAGATGCGACGGCACCTCCGAATCAGTGCCAAGGCAGAAGGAACCCTGACCTCTCCCTCCAGGGACGGAAACAGGGGCGGTTGGTAGCCATAAGCACACTGAAATGGGGAAAGACCAGTAGAAGAGCAAGGCAATGTGTTGTGCAACCAACTCAACCCAGATAAGATTCTTACTCCAAGTAGGGTTCTGAGAGACGAGACAACGCAGACCGGTCTCTAACTCCTGGTTGAGCCGCTCGGTCTGTCCGTTGGACTGAGGGTGATGGCCGGAGGAGAGGCTAACGGTGGCACCCAGGAGAGCGCAGAACTCCTTCCAAAACTTGGAGACGAACTGGGGACCCCGATCCGACACAACATCCTTAGGGAAGCCATGTAACCGGAAAACATTGGATAGGACAACCTCCGCCGTTTCCTTGGCAGAGGGTAACTTGGGCAGAGGAACAAAATGCACCAACTTTGAGAATCTGTCGACAATGGTCAAAATGGTTGTGTTACCTTGGGACAGGGGAAGACCCGTTACAAAGTCCAGAGAGACGTCCGACCAAGGGAGAGTAGGTACAGGAAGGGGACGTAGGAGACCAGGGGAAGGCCGACGAGAAACTTTGTTCCGAGCACACACCGGGCAGGCAGCAACATACTCCCCCACCTCACTCTCCATCTTGGGCCACCAGAAGCGTTGCTTGATCACAAACATGGTCCGTTTGACCCCCGGATGGCAGGAGAGAGGGGACGCATGAGCCCAGTGGATGACCTGAGAGCGAAGAGGAGAGGGCACAAATAACCTGTTCTGAGGGCAACCATTCGGCCCTGGGTTACCAAGATTTGCTTCTCTGACCCTCTCCTCAATAGCCCAGGTAACAGCACCCACCATACATGAGGGAGGCAGGATGGTAGCGGGGGAAGAATGGTCAGAGCCTGTATCAAAGAGACGGGAGAGAGCATCAGGCTTAGTGTTTTTAGAACCAGGACGATAAGACAGTGAAAAGTTGAACCGATTTAAAAAAAAAAAAAAAAAAGAGCCCACCTGGCTTGACGAGGGTTGAGTCTCTTCGCTGTGCGCAGGTACTCCAGGTTCTTGTGATCGGTCCACACAATAAATGGCACTTCAGCTCCCTCTAACCAGTGATGCCACTCCTCCAGTGCCACCTTAACAGCCAACAGCTCTCGATTCCCCACATCGTAGTTCCTCTCAGCAGGAGAAAGCTTCCGGGAGAGGAAAGCACATGGGTGAACCTTGTTGTCCTCTCTGGAGCGCTGAGAGAGCACAGCACCAACCCCCACGTCTGAAGCGTCCACCTCCACCACAAACTGCAGACGTGGGTCCGGGAGGGTCAGTATAGATGAGGATGTCATCCAGGTACACGAAAACGAAGATGTTAAGCATGTCTCGAAGTACATCATTGATCAAAGTCTGAAAAACAGCTGGGGCATTTGTGAGGCCAAAGGGCATTACGAGATACTCGTAATGCCCACTTGGAGTGTTAAAAGCAGTTTTCCATTCATCCCCCTCCCTTATTCTCACCAGATGATAAGCATTTCTAAGATCTAACTTGGTAAAGATCTTAGCACCTTGTAACTGGTCGAAAGCTGATGACATAAGAGGAAGGGGATACCTGTTCTTGATGGTAATGTCGTTCAAACCTCGATAGTCAATGCAGGGGCGAAGTGACTTGTCCTTCTGCCACAAAGAAAAATCCGGCTCCAGCGGGAGAGGAAGAAGGTCTAATTAATCCAGCGGAAAGTGAAGACTCCACATATTCCTTCATCGCCCGTGTCTCTGGAGCAGATAGGGAATAAAGACGACCCCTGGGTGGTGAAGAGCCTGGTAACAAGTCTATAGCACAATCGTACACACGATGAGGGGGCAGCGAGGTGGCTCTGGCCTTGTTAAAAACCTCCTTAAGGTCATGGTAACACTGAGGGACCTTGGAAATGTCAGGGTAGTCAGGATCTGACATGTCTTGAATTACAGGAACAGCTGGTGGAGCAGTCAGGGAACATTTGGACGGAAAACAGGTACTTAAACATCCCTTACACCAAGCAATAATCTTGCCAGTGGACCAGTCTATGTGGGGGTTGTGTAGGGTAAGCCAGGGGTACCCCAAAATGATTGGGTGTTCCGGGGACCGAAAAACATGAAAGACGAGAAGCTCAGTGTGACCGTCCTGGAAACTTAGCTGAAGAGGTTGGGTGTGGTGAGTTACCCTACAGAGAAGACGGCCATCCAAGGCACTTGCTTCCATTGGTCTTGGAAGGGGAAAGGTCTCAAGTTTCAGCTTCTTAGCCAACTCAAAGTCTATAAAACTGGCATCTGAGCCAGAGTCTACCAAAACAGGATGCCTAAGAACCACAGAAGACGAAGACAGAGTGACATTTGGGAGACAACGTGAGGGACTAACATTAAGTGTAGTGCGGCTCACCAGTGCCTTCTTCTTTACTGGCGAGCCAGATATTTTAGTAGGCGACAGTTGGCGACTGAGTGTCCCCGTTTACCACAGTAGAAGCACCTGCCCTCCCGCAGGCGGCGCTGTCGCTCCTCGGGAGTCAGCTTGGTCCTGCCGAGCTGCATGGGCTCCTCCGGAACAGCAGGGGGCGACAGAGGCCCAGTAGACGGAAGCCAGGGCCTGGGGTGATTCCATGAGGACGAAGAGCTGGGCGAAGACTGCCTCTTGTGGGAGAAATAGGGAATCGCAGTGTCTCTCTCTCTCGCTCCCTCTCTATCAGTCGCTTGTCAATCTTAATAGTCAATGAAATTAGGGAGTCCAAATCAGCTGGAAGCTCAAGGGGAGCTAACTGATCCTTTAATGTGCCGGACAATCCATAAAGGAAAGCATCAAACAATGCTGATTGGTTCCAGTCACTGTCCGCTGCCAGGGTACGGAACTTTATAGCATAGTCAGAAACCCTCTGCTTACCCTGGCGCAATCCAACGAGTGCTCTGGCTGCCTCCCGCCCTGGTGGGAGGTGCTGGAAGATCTTGGTGAAGGTCTCAGAGAAGAGATCGAGGGAGTCACAAACAGGAGACCTTCTCACCCACTCTGCCGTTGCCCAAGCCTCAGCTCGGCCAGAAAGGTGGGAGACAATGTATGCCACCCTTGAGCGCTCAGATGGGTAGCATGCAGCCTGGAGTTCAAAGTGGAGGCCGCACTGAGCCAGGAAAGCCCGACAATCACCGGAATCCCCAGAAAACCGTTCTGGTCGGGAGAGGTGAGGGGACAGGGTCGGAGTTGGAGACTGGACTGGAGTAGGATCCACTGGGAAAACAGGCAATGGGGGAGCTGGAGGACTTGGCTGGAGTAATAGTCTTTGGATATTTTCGACCAAATAACAGACTTGCCCACCAAAAGACGACAAAACGGACTCCTGTCTCTCGGCCATCAACTTTAATTCCTGGCGAAGCCCGGTAAGTTCCTGCTCTTGGTGGTAAATCCTGCTCCCTTGACTCTGAAGAGCAATCCGCACAGAATCCTGGTCGGCTGAGTCCATGCTGGCCAGTTCGTACTATCAAGCACAAGTATGCACAAATGCATAGATAAGTTGTGTGCTACTCATCAGGGTCAGACATCTCACTAATGTGGGAGTATGTGTGCCATCCACAGATGACTTGGGGATTCACTGTCCCTTCTACATGTACGTTTAAAATAAAAACGTGACCCTTGCATATGTTTAAAACAAAAACATGAATGTATGAACCTGTGTATTAATTGAATAGCTTAGTATTGAATGCACAATAATAGTAACTATGTGTATACATGGCACTAGGCCCAGTTTAATATAAACACAATTGTATACAATAGATATAGTACGGGGTCCCTGTTCCATCTCTCCATCAGTTTGGGGGTCCTTGGCCTGAAAAACGTTGAAGACCCCTGCCATAGCATATTATAAAGGGACATTTTTACCAGATGTATGACTGGTTATCCTTTTCTTAGTAGTATTGTACTACTAATACTGTTTTTTCCTGTTTTTAACTCTGTTGATTGTAAATAGGCTGCAGCAGGTATTCAATTTGAATAATCTAGGCACACACATTTAATAGATAATCCTTACTCCTGACTTAAATCTCTTCTTCTTTCCCTCCTGTATTTTTTATTTATTTCCTTCTTAATTCCTGCAATATTTCTCTTCCACTTGTTCATGTATTTACTCCCACTTCCTTTCCTTCCTTTTCCTCTCATGTTCCCAGGAGAGGGGGAGCTGGCAGCCGCTCACTACCAGCAGGCTGTCAGACTCAAACCAGCGCACTATGTTGCCATGGTGAACCTGGGCCGCCTACTGCGATCATCCAATGAGAACACAGAAGCGGAGTCTTGGTACAAGAGGTGAGTGAGGTATTATCATACTGCTTTTCAGGAGCAAAATCCTGATCAGCTGCAAGACTCCTGCTGTTTAGCTAACCGTGGTTAGGTTTCTGTTTTTCTGTATTATTGTGTTGCACTGTTGGAGAAGCCTGTGACCTAAGATTTTCATCGACATAACTACTCTGTAGCTATGTTCGTATGACAAATAAAGAACCTTGAGAAAAAACAGTTATAACACTTGTTTTCTTTTTTAGGGTTGAATTCATGTCAATTAAAATGTCCATGTAAAATAATTGTCTCTGCCTCTGTGGACTGTTTGAATTATTACAACATGGATATCTCTGGATCTCAAGGATGTAAAATGGTATGATTATATTGTATATAAACATCACCATGAGAAAACTGGTCTTTCTTTTGGCATTCTTTTAATCGGCAAAGATTTTTGATTGAAGAAGCAACAGGGTTATTGAAATTGCAGTCTTAAGCATTTACCTTTGTAACTAAAATTAGTATACACATTTAGATGTGTTTTCTTTTTTATGGCACATAAAAATAAAAAGACAATGGTAACCTTCCTGCAGGGCGCTGCAGGTGACGAGGAAGGTGGACATCCTGACTCCGCTCGGAGCGCTGTACTACAACACGGGCCGCTACAACGAGGCCCTGCAGGTGTACAGCGAGGCCGCCACCCTGCAGCCCCACAGCACCGACATCTGGCTGGCTTTGGTAAAGACACACACACACACACACACACACACACACACATACACACACAAGGAATCATGGAAACTGTTGGCCCAAAAAAACTGATTGTACACACACATAGCCACAATTGACAAGCTCTTTGTGTACCAGGCTCAGGTTTTAGCTATGGCTGGTCGCAGCAAAGAGGCAGAGAAGATGACGCTGGACATCATATCCAGAGATAGCGGCTGCATTGAGTGTTACCGCCTCCTGTCTGCAATCTACAGCAAGCGTGGGAACTACACACAGGTGAGAGTGTGACTCTTAATTGTGTCTCAAATTTTAGAGGTAAGGTAACACACAGTCGTGATAAACTCAGCAGGATATTTTACCATGGAAACTCATAACCTCAGCTGTACCGCTTGTGGGGGACACTTCTGAAGCAATTGGAATCAGGACTCAGAGAGACACAAGGAGAGCTGGAGCTTTGATGGCAAACACCGACGGTTTATTTGGAGCTTCGGCCGGAGAATTCACAAGACATGTCACAGGGCCACGAGTTGACCACACGGTTGAGATGCCACAATCAATTCTGAAGAGCTCTACCCCAGACCCATGTGTTTAGCTAGTTCTGAGAGAATAATCAACATTGTGCATAACAAGATAGAATCATAACACCTCTATCAGCTGACGCCAACAGGCAGGAACAGGGAGACAAAACACTGAGAGCACAGCAGCCAAGGTTGCAGGTGCCTGTGCTCAGTCAGGACAGTATGAACTGATAAACTGGGTCAAAATGATGGGCCTTTGGAAATATTTCCCCAACACAGCTGAACAGCAGCTGCCACTCTTCCTCCCAGTGTTTTGTCATCACCATCTGCACTTCCCTATGACCCAGTTTCACAGGGAGAAGAATGTTCACACTCAAGTCTGCAGGACCATAAAATGCTCACATGCATACAAGCTCCAGTGTGGTATTGGTGGACATGTTTGTCACTATTGTTCTATAGATTGGTGCAGAGATGAGTCCTCAAACCCTGAAATTAATTATAATTTCACCACTTCCAGTTCCCTCGTCTCAACGTTTTTTGGAATGTGTTTTTGGTTAGATACCTGAAATAAGGTCTGTGGTTAACACAATCTGAAGAGATTTCACTTTTTTTTTCTGAGATAAATGACATCAGTAAATACCCCACTGGTGAATGTTGAAGCTTCTATCTTTCTTAAAAGGGCGATGGCTACCAAGTGACTAAATGAAAATACAAAAAAGCATCACACTGAACGTTAGCTGCCTTTAGCTGAGCAGTAGGGAAGCTGTGTGACCATGATGCAGTTTGTTAGTTGCCTAAAAATTGCTTTTTTACTTCTTCCTATTACATTTACGCTTCAAAAATGGTGTTTGTGGTGTTAATATGTGGTGATTGTGAGACTTCCGGTGAGGCACGAGGCTGATGGCAGCAAGATACTGAGCACTGAACAAACCCCCCCCCCCTTTATATTTATTGCAACTCATAGACAGTAATAACACATATTTGAGTTGAAGTAAGAGCGAACAAAACTTAAGATATGTCTTCAGCAAAAAAGGATAAAGCTCCGACTAATAAACAATAATCTAACAGACAACAGCAAGCTAGCGATTCACCCGCCGATATAGCTATGCTAATCAAGCAAGCTATCGCGGATGAGATGGAAACTCTGCAGGGAACAGTAGCAGACATGCTAAAGGGTGCGATTGAGAAGGCTCTCAATCCTATAGAGAAGCACTTGGTCGAAAACGGCAACATCCTCCGGTCATTAAAAGAACAAGCTGATGGTCACGCAAAAAAGTTTGACACGGTTTTCAATAAGATTGATAGCATTCAGGTTGCTGTGCGCAAGAATGAGAAGGAAACTAGCTTGTGTATCATGGAAGTGACAAAGATATGAAGGAAGCTCAATGAATTGGAGGACAGGTCCAGAATGAACAATGTAAGGATTGTCAACTTACCAACATGCGTTGAGGGCGATGATCCCAGGGGTTACATTCAAAAGATGCTGCATATCTGGATACCTTCAATCAAGAGCCCCAACAGTAATCCACTGGAAATCGATAGGGCGCATCGTATTTTCTCCAACAACACCTCAAGATCGCGGACCATGGTTCTCAAACTCCTACGCTATACCGACAGACAGGCCATTCTTGAAGGCACGAGGAAAGTTAGACCGACTCTCCAAGACGGGACACAGCTGTTGTTCTTCGCCGATTACAGCCCCGGTATGACACAGGAGCGACAGGAATACAAGGAGATCCGCATTAAACTTCGACAAAAGGGGATCGACTCGTTCATCATATATCCGGCAATTCTGAGAGTAAACAACAAGGGCACAAGAATCTCATTTAACTCTGCAGAAGAGGCGAAATAAGCCCTTAAATCAACGGTGCTGGACATGCGAGAAGATCCTGGACATTGAATATGCTACCTGTGCCAAGGGAGGAGATGAATAAGGACAGAGAAAAGCCTAGTCTGGCACCTAGACAACATATGGACAGGTGGACGCTATTTAGGTGATGTTCTATGCTTATTTTATATTGGAGCCTCGATACTTGAATATGTTGAAAAAGGGGCCAGTTTATTTTCAAATTATTGCAGATCAGAGTTTTAATGTTATTGTTTAATTGCCATGTTTATATGGTGTTAAGGTAATAGTCCGCCCAGAATATATACTTTAATATGCGGCATACATAAATGTACATTATAATGGAATAGGCTTGGGAAGCTGGAGGCGTGTTTTGAAAACTTTTTCGATAGGTCTGGTAGCCCGGTGCCTCCACTGTTTACATTCATGGGCGCGTGATATGATGTCATCGGCAGGCGACGGTCTGTATATGGGCTATACCATGTCATGAGAACGAGAGGGGGATGGTTGTAATAATACAGGTTGATCGGTTTGAAAGAGGTTTTCTATTCCACAGCTTTACTGTTTGTGAGATCTGCTATGCTTTATCTTTATGCAAGGGCGGGAACATTCAGTGTTCAGTGTTAGACGTAGCTAAGTGACGCTCACAGATGTTACCAAGAAGAGGGTCGAATGCGGGGGGAAAGTGGAGGGTTGTAACTCAGGGATCCACCACCAACTCACAACAGGTCCAGGGAATAAATACAGATAAATTGGAACATTTGAATATTGTATCATTTAATGTAAGAGGACTTAACTCTCCGTATAAACGTTCAAAAATCTTAGATGTCTTACGCAGAAAGAAGATAGATATTGCAATGTTTCAGGAGACACACCTTAAACCTAATGACATTTCAAGGGTTCAAAACAGATTCTATAAACCTTTTGTGGCATCAACTGATGGCACTCGCACTAAAGGAGCTATGATACTTGTGAGGCGTAACATAAATGTATCAATTGAAAGGATTGGCTTTGACAATAAAGGACGTCTAGCCTATTGCTGCACATCTATTCAGGGTAAAAAAGTGGCTTTTGTTAGCATATATGCGCCAACAAACAATTTGAAGCTGTTTTTTTTCCCTCAGTCACTTCACAGTTACTGAAGTTAAATGACTACCAATTACATGTTGGGTCGGACATGAATGCTTTTGTAAACAATAACCTTGACAAATCTGCTGCAACTCTATCAAGTTCTCAAGAATCTGCTTCCAAAGCACTCACACCTAATAGTCCGCTTCTCTGGTGCACACCAGACCACAGTTTGTTACATTGTTTCATTCTTCAGAAGGTTCGGTTTGCGTTCACACGGGCAAAACTCAAACGGACTATAAACTTTAAACACAAGTCATGTGCACGGAAATGCTATTCAACCATTGGTCAGACATTAAGGGGGTAAAAACACAAATCCCGGCAATTTCTACCGGAGCCTCCGCCATGGAGCATCGGCACTTTCAGCAAGTTATTCTCATGCTGCTGTTAATCTGGAGATCAACAGACTCTAGCGGCCCGCGTATATGATTATATAATCAGGCAACGTCCGTTAAAAAACATTATAACACATATAATGAGACGTTCTGCAGTAAGGAGGGGCGTTTCACCGACGACAGGTGTTCTTACTTTTATGTAGCTGACGGAGCATTTTTACTTTACACAACACTGTTCAACACTTCATTCTGCTTCACTCTTTAACTAAACAACCGCGGATGTCTTGAAAGACTCTTTCGCTAAAGATTTTTGAAGACATCCGCGTTCTTGTGACACGTAAATACTACGCTTCCTGTGTTTTGGTGCGGACTGCGTTCACACCAGCAATGAACCGCTCCAGAGTTCGCAAGCAAGCGCTCCGAGACCACCTATTTTAGCGGACCAGAGTCCGGTTGTTTAGTTCACTTAAGAGGTCTCGGATTGTGTTGACACCGACCCAAATGAACCGCACCAAGCGGCTAAACGCACCTGGGTTTGATTCAACCGAACTGTAAAAGGCTGGTGTGAACGCACCCTTAATCTCTTTATAACAGACTTAAACTTAATTGATGTGTGTAGGGTGCATAATCCATCTGCGAGAGACTATACATTTTTCTCCACGGGACATAAAACCTTCTCTCGAATAGACTACATTCTTGTATCTTCTGGGCTGATGCCTTCGATACAGTCAATTGAGTTCCTACCCAGACACCTCTCGGATCACAACCCAATTTTAGCACATTTTAACTATGGAAATATAAAAAATGGGGCTACTAGATGGAGGTTCAACACGACCCTTTTAAAGAACAACACATTTATATCGCAATTCAGATCAAAACTGACAAAAATGTATAATCTTGAATAAGAATAGCGTGACGTGGTTTGGGCCGCCATCAAGGGTTTTATACGAAATAATGCCATACGGTTCAGTTCCCACCTACATAAAAGCAGACTGCAAAAGATTTCCCACCTAGAAGAACTATGTAATATGTTGGAAAAAGGCCTAAAAGAGGGATACACTACATCAGTAGAAAGTACGATCTATTAAGACACAGGGCAGAATATATGATCCATATAATCAAACACAAGTATTACGCAGAAGGCAGCAGACCAAGCCACCTTTTGGCACTAACTTTAAAACAACAAGAGGCTAAAAGGACCATACCAGCAATCCGATGTAATAAACGCGGAACAGTATCTTCTACAGAGGAGATAAATTAAACATATAAAAATTACTTTAAAGAACTGTATTCAAGTAGCTCAGTTCCTTCTGACGAAGACTTCACCAACATTTTTAGCGGGTTAGGCCTCCCTATATTATCATTAGATGACACCAAAACACTGGATTCACCTGTCACGCTGGAGGAGCTATATAAAGCAGTCAAAGCTACAAATAAGGGCCGTACGCCGGGTATAGATGGCATACCTGTGGAACTCTATTTAACATTTTGGGATATTATTGGACCGGTATGGTTAGAAACACTTAATTATGCTACCAATAAGGGTATGTTTCACAAATACTTAAATATGGCTCTGATTACGGTTATACCCAAACCTGGAAAGGACCCCCTTGAATGTTCTAACTATCACCCAATATCACTGATAAATGCTGACCTCAACATTTTTTCCAAGGTCTTAGCTATTAGACTTGAGACGGTGGTTGGGAAATTAATAAGCCCAGATCCAACAGGCTTTATTAAAGGTTGGCTCGCATCTGATAATATCCGCAGACTCCTGCACATACTTGGCGCAACACATACAATTCCACCTGCCTGTGGCCTTTTGTTTTTAGATGCTGAAAAGGCGTTTGATCGCCTGGAATGGCCACATCTATGGAGGGTTCTGAAAGAATTTAAATGTGGAGATACATTTATAAACATGATTCAAACATTGTATGCAAATCCTACAGCTTGAGTATGTGTGGGAGGAAGCTTCTCCGACTTATTTGACATAAAACGGGGTACAAGGCAAGGAGACCCTCTGTCTCCTTTAATTTTCAATGTATCCATCAAACCACTGACACAATTCATTAGGAATTGCCCTCAGATTTCCCCCATCACAATAGGTGGAACGTCACACTCTATATCACTATAATTATGCGGACGATACATTAATCTGTATGGCAGATGTTCAGCGAACCCTCCCCTGTGTCTGAGAAGTATTGGAGCAGTTTGGGCAGCTTTCGGGATACAAGATTAACCTACAAATCAACACTGATGCTTCTTAACATAGGCCAAAGTGAGGTGTCCCTCCCACCCCAGATCAATGTTTCAAATGAGGTCCTCTTTAGGTATTAAGGTTAGTACTTCCTTATCATCTATAGCTAAAACAAATTACTCTTTAGTTTTGAAAAAAATAGAAGAAGATATTACAAGATGGAAACACCTTCCAGCATCAGTCCCAGCCCATTTTTCGGTTGTTAAAATGAACATATTACCCCGCATACATTTCGTAAGCTCAATGATCCCCCTAGCACCTCCAACAGGATACTGGCAAAAACTAGATTATTTACTACGATGCTATATCTGGAATGGTACGACCCAGTATAAAATGGTCAGCTCTTCAGTATAGAAAATCAGATGGGGGATTGGCATGCCCACATTTTAAACTATATCATTGGGCATTCATATTAAGATCTCTCAGCTATTGGGTAAATGAGGATAAAATGCCATCTTGAAAGAATATGGAACAAGATTTAATAGCGCCGATAAGATTAAGGGACTTTCTCCTTTTAGGTATATCTACCAAAAGATGTGATTTACTGTGCGGTCCAATTTTAACTTATATGATTAAAGTGTTCAGAGTAGCAGGGACATTCATACACTTTAAGAGTGTGTGGTGTAGGTCATCTCCATTATGGAACAATCATAACCTATTGACTGGGGGCAAACCATTTAACAACAAAGCTTGGGAGGATAAAGGTATTAAAACTCTTCAGGACATTAATGGGGAAAATTGTATTCTTGACTTTCAAAAACTGGTCTCTCAATATAATATTGATCAACACTTTAGAATAAGGTCTGCCTGTAAAGCCTATGGGGTCCCCTGGGGGTCAGATTTGAAAGAACATAATATTCTGAGTTGGGTGCAGAGTGCTCCCAAACAAATAGTTTCGTTTATCTATAATAATCTTAACTCCCAGAACTATATGCCTACATCAGGCATGAGTGCATGGGATAGGAAAATATCCACTTTAGGACAATAATTCGATTGGGATGCAATTTGGGCTAATGTTACGGGTGCTTCAAAAAACCCAAACCATCAGTATATACATCTGAAATGTTGAGCATATCTAACACCAATAATTAGACACAGAATTGGATTGGTACCTGACCCTTATTGTTCATTTTGTCACCAGGGAACCATTGGCTCTTTCTTACATGTTGTATGGGAGTGTCCAGGAGGATTACACTTTTGGGGGAAGGTTATTAGTACCCTTACAGATTTAATAGGGTTAAGATTGTGGTGTAGGATAGACGGATGGGATTGAATTAATCCAAAATGTTGTGCAACCTGAATTGTCTTCTGTACTGTGTTGTAAATTGAAGATGTTACAATAAAAAATGTATGTTAAAAAATATATATATGTGGTGATTGTCCTGCTATACAAAATGTGTAAGTACACTTTGTTTTTATCTGCAGGTCAAACAACATGGAGTTTGCTAAAGTCACACACAAATTATTAAAACACAAATCAAATGATTTAATTATGATCATACTGTCTCTCATACTCATCTCAGTATGGCTGTGATGTTTGTTCTCAGTGAATCTAAACAATTAGCAAGATGAGATAGGCACTTTTTTCTGTGTTTGTTCATGTATGCCTGTATGTTTATTACTGTTTGTGTCCATGCCAGGCGCTGGCTGCTCTGGACAGAGCCCTGCAGCAGAGTCCCAGTGATGTGACCGTGAGAGCAGAGCTGTATTTCTCCAAAGGGAACCAGTTCAGAGAGATGAACCAGCTGGACCGAGCCTTCCAGGTATTGTTCTGTCTTCTTCCTCCTCTCTCTCTGCTTCTCTTCAGTCAGGTTTCCATCCAAATACCCCTCAAATGTAATCCAACTTCCAAAAAATTGGCAAAGAAGATGCCGTGTTCATTAACCACCATTATGTGAATTTGAGGGGCTGGTGCTGCTAATTCTCCAGTCTCCTGCCATGAAATGACTGCAGAAGTGGGTGCACATTTGTTGAAAGACAATGTAGAAACAGGTTTGAATAATGTATTCATTTAAGGAACAAAGCAGTCACCTCATTGCAGCTGATGCAAGATGCTTTATTTAAATATCAAAGCTGCCTTAAACTCACAAATCAAAGTTGAGTTGATCAATCATACAGTTTGGCAAACCTTAAAGGTGGGGTAGGTAAGTTTGAGAAACCGGCTCGAGATACACTTTTTGTTATATTCCATGGAATGCTCTTAACATCCCGATAGCAATGAATATCTTAAGTGCTCGAGTTACCTCTCAAGTCACCTCTCGAGTTCCCTCTCAAGCCCTCTCTCTCTCGAGTCTCCTCTCGAGTCACCTCTCGAGTCCCCTCTCGAGTTCCCTCTCGAGTCACCGCTCGAGTTCCCTCTCAAGTCTCCTCTCGAGTCTCCGTTCAAGTTCCCTCTCGAGATCCCTCTCAAGTCACCTCTCAAGTCAACTCTCAAGTTTCCTCTCGAGTTCCCTCTCAAGCCCTCTCTCGAGTCCCCACTCAAGTCCCTACTCAAGTGCCGTTGGAGGTTCCGCTGGGGGTCCTGCCAACTCCATGTCCTGTCCCGTTGGGGATCCCGCCGACTGATCTCCTGCCAGGGGTTCTGCCAACTCCATGTCCTGTCCGCCCGAGACCCCCTCCACGGACTCTGCCTTGCCCCCGGGCCGTCCGCCCGAGACCCCCTCCTCGAACTCTGCCTTGCCCCCGGGCCGTCCGCCCGAGACCCCCTCCTCGAACTCTGCCTTGCCCCCGGGCCATCCGCCCGAGATCCCCTCCATGGATTATGCTTTGCCCCGGGATATCCGTCCGAGTTTGTCTACTATCCCATCATCCAAGGGGGGTTTTTTTGGACGGAAACTATAATTTAAATAGTTGTACTATGTTCAATCTGAATTTACTTTAAAATAAAAACACCTATATTGATTCTGACTTTTCTACATGCAACTCACAGGTATATCATTGCTTTGAGAAAAAAGATTATTAATTTACCCCTTTTAGAAGACAAGATATACAGTAGTCATTTTTTCTGGGCATGTCATTTTCGAGCCTGAAACCTGAAAAACAGGCCCCAGGTTAATAGGGATGGCCTACAGAGCTTGTGACTTGAAACGAAGATGCTCTATAATCTGATTTTAACAAGATGGCAGCGCTGACAGCAGCAGCGGCCCCCCCGAGTCTTCAGTGTTTTCGATTTTTTTAAAATGTTTTTAATGTATGTTCGTCCAAACCAGTCTCACGGCATTTCGTGTTATAGTCACAATTAATTTAATCTATTGAATCGGGTTCACCAACACGATTTTCGGATTTTTTTCGTGTCACACAGAACGATTTTAAAAGCAATGTATTTCTATTGGTAGTATGTGTTGTGCCTGCACCACGTCTTTTTTTTTCCTTCTAATTTGATATTATTTGGTGCAGGCACGAAACATAATACCAATAGAAATACATTGCTTCTAAAATCGTTCTGTGTCAGAATACTGAAATCTGTATTTTTTTAATCTATTTTTCCTTCTAATTTGTTATTATTTACATTGCTTTTAAAATCGTTCTGTGACACGAAAAAAATGGCGAAATCGTGTTCGTGAACACCAATCGATAGATTAATTTCGTGACTATAACACGAAATGCCGTGAGACTGGTTTGGACGAACATACATTAAAACCATTTAAACCATTTTAAACCTGGGCCTCAGAGGGCCCCTTTCTCTGCAACTGGCTGCTGGACTTTCTCACTGCCAGACCCCAATCTGTACGGGTCGGCAACAACACATCAGGCACCATCACACTGAGTACGGGGGCCCCCCAAGGATGTGTGCTCAGCCCCCTGCTGTTCACCCTGCTGACCCATAATTGCACACCCACCCACAGCTCCAACCACTTCATCACATTTGCGGTTGACACAACCGTGGTGTGTCTCATCAGCAACAAAGACGAAACCCACTACAGGAGGGAGGTGAACCAGCTGGCCACGTGGTGCATAGATAACAATGTCTTTCTCCAAATTGGAAACGTGACACAGGCACAGGAAACTGACTTGTTTATGCAACTGAAGGTATGCGTTTACTGAATAGAAAGAGGTCTCTAACACAGGTCAGACCACATTATAAATAACAGATCCAGCTCATTACTGCTTCCAGCCAGGTATTCTGTAACTTATTATCCTCAGAATGTATGTGTTTAAATGTACAATAATGTTGGGCTGCAACAACTAATCGATTAAAATCGTTTGCTAAAAAAGTTGGCAACGAATTCAGTTATCGATTCGTCTATGTTGTTACTCTCTGTCACTCTAAAAAAAAATGGCGGAGGCGGAGAGAAGCACGGTCCAATTAAAATTGCTTTTGGACAAAATGCCTAACTTGGAAAAAGCGAAAAAAATGGCTGTTTGGCAGGTTATATTTAGCTGACAGGAATGCAAAGGATGAGAAAACCCCATCCGTGTACAGGTCATTAATCGAAACAAGACCATTAGTCGCCCAAATGTGGAAGGAGGGGTCAGAGCAGGATGGAGAGAACAAGTGATTGTTCAAGAGCGGTGCGAGCGTTGAAGCCCTGTGTAGGCCAAGTTGTTTTGTGAATTGGAGCCAGATTTTAATGGTACTAGTGACCACTGGGTTGTTTGAGATTTTGTGGGTTACTGTGGGAAGTTGAGAGCAAAGTATAGAGTGCAAGGAACCAGAGGAGGAGGAAGTCTCAGTATGAACCCAGATTGGGCAGGAGTCTTGAGATTTGCAGCCAGCCCAATAGAGGAGTCTATTAATACTACAGGCCCATTAGTAGTTGCGGAAGTTTGAGAGAGTTTGGTTTATCTTTTTTCTCAACTGGTGAGTTTGCAGGTATGTGTGTCAGTGTGGAAAACAGGTGTGTGCAAGGCTCCTAAAAAAGAGGAGTTTATTGGCTTCCTCAATCATTTCCCCCCCACCACATATAATGGTTCCTGCGACAATAGTCTGTATTCTGACTGTAAAGGTGTTGCTAACAAATAGGGAAATTACTGTGTACAACATGTAAAGCCAATGGGAAACAGTAATAAGTAAAAATTATTTTCTTATATGTAGCCTATTCAATGCATAATATGCATTATTTAAAGGGAAACTGCAAATTACATTGCATTTTGCTGACGCTTTTATCCAAAGCGACTTACAATAAGTACATTCGACCAGGAAGACACAACCTTGAAGAAAACAGAATCATATAAGTACATCAGGTTTCATAGAGCCAAACATTTCAAGTGCTACTCAACTGGCTTTAGATAAGCCAGTCCTTTATTAGTATATAAGTGCTTTGTTAGTAATTGTATCGCTCGAAGTGGAGTCGAAAGAGATGAGTTTTCAGTTTGCGCCGGAAGATGTGCAAGCTATCTGCTGTCCTGATGTCAATGGGGAGCTCATTCCACCATCTTGGAGCCAGGACAGCAAACCCACGTGTTTTTGCTGATGGGAACTTGGGTCCCCCTCGCAGCGAGGGTGCAGCGAGTCGTTTGGCTGATGCAGAGCGGAGTGCACGCGCTGGGGTGTACGGTTTAACCATGTCCTGGATGTAGGAAGGGCCAGATCCATTCGCAGCATGGTAAGCAAGTACCAGTGTCTTGAAGTGGATTCTAGCAGTTACCGGAAGCCAGTGAAGGGAGCGGAGTGGTGTGGGAAAATGTAGGAAGGTTGAAGACCAGACGAGCCGCTGCATTCTGGGTGAGCTGCAGAGGTCGGATGGCACATGCAGGTAGACCAGCCAGGAGGGAGTTGCAGTAGTCTAGGCGTGAGATGACGAGAGCCTGGACCAGAACCTGCGTCGCTTTCTGTGTCAGCTGGGGACGTATCCTCCTGATGTTGTAAAGTGTGTATTGTAGGAGCAAACACAATAGTGGTGGCTTAAAGCCCACCTCTGCTCCGCGCCGTCCGTTTAGATGAGTCTGGTCAGATTGATAAAAGAGGGAGTTCAACACACCGGCATAAAAGTTATAACAATAATCTGATTTTAATGGTAAAAAACACCAATACAAGTTTACAGAGTACTCCGGACTCCCAGTTCTACTGCTGTGCGATACAGGTATCGGGACCAGCCAGTCAGAAACAGGGGGCATTTTGCATGACTACACAACAGTATATATGGATATATTTTTGAGGTGGACAGCCACTTCTTATCTTCCACCGGACCCAACTCCTTTAATTTCCCAGGGAAGGTTTCACACAAACTATTCTTTTAAAACAATCAAACATTGTACACAGATATATTGGTGCTTGGGATTATTCCCAGCAAGGAACCTTGAAAAAAGAACATGTGTGTGTGTTAGTGAGGAAAAGTGTATGTGTGTGTGTGTGTGTGTGCATGCTGATAAGCAGAGGCATATGTGTGTGTGTTGCTGATATCTGGGTTAAGGAGTTTATGTGTGTGTGCTGCATGAAGACAGGAGGAGGTGTGTGTGTGTGTGTCAGGGTCTCTGGGTAATGGAGTGTAAGTAAGAAGGTTTAGATATATAGGATTACTTTAAACAGTCCCAAATAATACATGTTCACTTCAATACAGTTCAAGATAATACCTGTTTACTTTAATACAGTTTAGAAAAATATCCGGGTGCTTTAACCCCTTTTTTGATCTCTCCTTCAGAGATCAATTTATACACAGCATTTGAAACATAACCTACTGTCATTCTTTTCTACTGTCTGTTCCCCAACATTTATATAAATCCATCAGAAGCTGGGATTTAGAGCACTTTAAACCTTTAGAAACAGTCCATCATAACAACTTTTTATGACAGTGGAGGGAGACCAAAATATGTTAAAAATGGT